TTTGGATTCATGTCCGCATGAACCGATAAGCTCACGAGATGCAGAATATAAACATTTTAAACTGCTTCGATCATGTCTCAGTAAGTGTGATTTCAGAATATTAAGTTCACAGCAATTCATGCCAACAAACTCATTCAGAGGCCACAAAAATGGCTGCTATTTGGACAAAGAAATGGAATTTAAGATTGGTCTTGAAGGTGAGAAAAGTGGAGGGGGGATTAGGTAAGAACATCCTGAGGGTCTTCTCCAGGTTGGTTAAGGCCAGGGATACCAATAATGGGGTGAAAAAAGAATGTTCGGAAAGGCAAGAGTACCATCAAGCGAGTACAGGGCAGACTGAGGCCAGATATGCATCATGGCTAGTCAAGCGTCTGTCTGTTCTCAAAGCAATCAACCTGGACCAAACTGTAACTCCCAAAAACAAAAACTGCTTACAATCAAGGTGTGAAACCCATGGAAAATCAGAGACTGTCAGAACAATAATTTCTATCAGATCTCCTTTAATACCAGACAAGTCCCAGCTCTGCACTTTACACACTAAGTCAACAGGGAACCTTCATGGCATACATGGCTCTACGGAATTACACAAGTACACTACTAGCTTTACATCACTTCACCCTTGCTGCTTTTGCAGATCACTTTAAATCTACGCCCTTTTCTTCCTGTTCCTTTTACAAGTGGGAACACATTTGCCCTGCCTACTTTATCCAGCCTGCTCATGATTTTGAAAACCTCAATCAGATCTCCTCTTAGCCTGCAAGGAGAACAGTCCCAATGTCTTCAAACGATCTTCAAAACCGAAGTTCCTAATTCCTGGAATCATTCTTGTAAACTGCTTCTGCATTCTCTCCAACGGATCCACCTCCTTCCTATACTGTGGTACTCAGAACTGTACAGCTAGATTGTACTCCAGGTTAATTTAAAGCCTAACTCTCAATAAAGCCATGAATGCAAAAGGACTTTGTTCTCGAACTAGTTAACAAGGTTTTGAACTGTCAATCTTCACTCTAAATAAAATATGGCTAAAGTATATTTTATAAGTAGAAGTTGGAAGTGCAGGTAACAGAATTATCTTTTTGCTTTGTGCACTTTATGTGCTTTGCTCAATATGTGAGATGACATTAATCTCATCCATTGACTAAAAAATATGAAATGCATAATAAAACAAGACAATTCTGTGATTCTGGCAACTGCAATTCCATTTTTTGGTTAAAAACTGCAGACTTTAAATAATTTGCATTCTTTCAACCTTGTTTTACAAAGGTCCCATACTTGAGATGCACAATATAAAGGTATATGGCACTCACCTTTTAGCAACAGTATCAACCTGAAGCCATTAGTCAATTTTGTTTTTAAACTCTCAGGGCATTTGTGGAAGTGGATGCAGCTTTGTCCCTCAGAAAAATGCAGGGAGAGGCATGGCCCATTTTAATGTGGAAGTTTGATTAACATCACAGTGTGCTGCCTGCCTGAAACTCAACTTCAGACTCTGCAATCAGATAAGTCATTGAAAGTGCATTTGCAGGTAACTTAGGAAACATGAGATGGAATCGTGCACAGGGTAGGGAAGGTCCAAGTGTCCCTCACAATTACAACTTCTACATTTCACTGCAAAAGTCTCCACTCCTTGCCTGCCAGGTCTGACTGAGTAAATAAGAATTAAGAGCAGGAGTAGGCAATTCAGTCCCTCTGCTATTTGATCATGACTGATCTCAACTTCGCCGCAATTCCATTTTCTTTCACTGTCCATAATCCTTCAACCCATTACTAATTAAAAATCTGTTTGTTCCTCCTTAAAGTTCCTCAATGTCCCAGCATCCATCATACTCTGGGATAGTAAATTCCACAGATTCACAACCCTTTGAGAGAAGTAATTTCTCATCTCTGGTTTATATCTGCTACCCTTTGTCCTAAACCTATGACCTCTTATTCTGGATGGCCTCACATGAGGAAACATCCCTTTCTACATTTGTTTTGTCAATCCCCTTTAGCATCTTTTATACTTCAGATAGATCTCTTCTCATTCTTCCAAACTCCAGACAGTATTGCCCTAAGCTGCTCAATCTCTATTCATAAAACAAATCTCTGGAATCAAATGTAGTGAACCTCCTCTGAATTGCCTCCAATGCAACTACATTCCTCCTCAAGTAAGATGATCAAAATTATACACAATACCTAAGTGTGGGCTCACCAATGCCTTGTACTGTTGCAGGGACACTTCCCTTTTTTTATACTCTATTCTTTTAGCAATAAACATCAAAATTCCACTTGTGTTCCCTTTTATCTGCTGCATCTGCTTATTAGTTTTGTGCGATTCATGCACAAGGACGACCAGATCCCTCTGCACTAAAGCACTCTGAAGTTTCACTCCATTTAGATAAGTAACCCTTCTATTCCTCTGTCTAACATGGATAATCTCACACTTATCCATGTTAAATTTCATCTGCCAATTTGTGACCTGTTTGTCTAAGCTATCCAAATCCAATTATAAATTTCTTGTTTCTTCTTGCAATTGACTCTCCCACCTATTTTACCGTCTTCTGCCAATTCGGCTGTTGTACTTTCTATCCCTGCATCCAAGTCATTAATATAGATTACAAAACGTTCGAGCCCTGTGGTATCCCACTAGTTACACCTTGCCAATCAAAAAAAAAGACACATTTATCCCGACTCTCTGCTTTCTGTTAGTAAGCTAATCCTTTATCCAGGCTCATAAATTACTCCAACCCCATGAGATCTTCAGTAGTATAAGAATTATGGATACTCTGCCCGATGGCCCAAAGGCAATCAAAATGCCAGGAGGACCCTATGTACATCACAGGATTCTGATTTAGATGTATTCACAAAGCTCCTATCCAATTCAGAAGTAGCCTCAACTGCCTTAAGAAAATCATAGTAGTAAAATGGCTACAGGGTTGTAAGGGTACAGTACCCAAAGCTTCCTTGATATTAATTTGCTTCCATCCGGTTTTAACTGGCAGAGTATATTAAAATACTTCCAACTATCTTTCTCTTCAATAGACATAATCTGTAATGATATTTTCTCCACCATTGGCATTTAAGGACAGCATCTCTACCCCCCTATTCCCACCCCATCATCTGGTCACACCATACCCCCCAAAAAGACTACTCTATACCCCTTCCACACGATGGCTACCTTCCATAATCAATTCTGTAGATATGATTATTATCACAAATATATACATCAAAATCAGTTGTCCAAAATGCAAAGGGTTTATCCGCTGAATAGGTGATGAGCTACACAGATCAGACTAGTCCTGGAGCATGGTCAACATGGTGGTGTTGGAGCCACAGGTCATCACAGCAACTGCTTCCTTGGTTTGGGGGGAGAACAAATTCTATCAGGGACCTCAGATATGAAGGAGCAACAAGAGATGAATAGGGATAGTACACAAGCTTTAAAATGGAAAATGAGAACACCAATAGGTTTAGTTGTAATACTTCCAATGTCTGCACAACCTGTCAGTATTCAACAATAAAGGTTATAACATCTGGTTCAGATACTTAAGGGCAACAAATGTCTGAGCTAGAAACGGAAACTGGAAATTTAAAGCCAACCTGCTTAAAAACACAGTTTCAACTAATTATCAAAAAAATTATGTGATAACAATCAAAAAGGAATCTAGACACAAAAGTCCAAATCAGAGTACGAAATATGGTGCATTGAGAACAAATTTCAAGCTAATCTACATTATTCTTCATGGACTACTGCAATGCTCTTCGAAGGTGAAAAATATGAATTCTTATACATTCACAAAATTCTTTTTTAATTTACTTTTTAATAACAGTGCAAAATGGTTGGCAATAAGGTGGGAATTCTTTACATAAGCTATTTTATCAGGCCTCTCTCTTTTAGTTAATCAACAGAAATGTAGAGGTCATAATCCCAGATTATCAGCTGTAGTTTGCTTTGGTACAAGTTAACACTGTTGAAAATGAACAAATATTGTTTTCCTTGTTTTCTTACTTCTCCATGTGTTGCATGAAGTTTTCTCTCCATTTATTGGAACCTACATAGTTATCCAAACTTTCTTGGTCAGGTTAAGCTCAGACATAATTTCTGTGTCCCACAGCTGAAGTTAATATATTTCCTGAAATTCAGGACTGAGGGTATATTTGACATTGCAGTGTGATTTTTCAGATGCAGTGAAGCCTTACATCTATTCGTGATTAAAATCTTAACCTTGTTCTTTACTGAAACACTGAACACAGAGGAACCAAACAAGGCACCAATGTCCTTTGTAACAAACTGTTGCAGCATAATATTTTGCCATCTTCCCCATAGCCAGGCATTTGATCTATTAACGCATTGTGGCTCAGCATCAAGTGCCTTCCTGAAAGCTTCATGAAAAGAACTTATACTGCCTCCACCTTGTTCACCAGATTGTCAAGCTCATTAAAGAAACTACTTTCTTTGGCATCAGATCATGCTGAAATAGATAATCCCATAACCATCTTTCAAAGTCTGCGAAACTTACCCAACAATTTTGATGAGGGTCAGAGGTCTGTACTGCAAATGCAATTTTATAGAACAGTACAGAAGTTTGATTAACCTTACACCATTGTAGAATAGGGTCAAGTATTGAACACAGGGTCTATCTGATAAGTAAACATGTCAAAACAGCTGTGTTCAGTTACTGGACTGGTCACGCTGAAAGATTCAAGCAAAAAAAATAGCATCTTAATGACTGTAAAAATTGAAAGGTTTGTCAGCTATGGGTCAAGACAAATCTCTAGCCAGTCACAAAGGCCAGCAGATGACAATCAGCAGAATCTAGGAGAGTAGATCATTCTGTTTCATAGCTGCAGATCGAAGACCAGATACACGTGAGAACAATAAAATCTATGCTGAGTTCCAAACATGAGTTAACAGTAGGAGGAAAAAAATACATAAGAAAGTCATGAGGACCAATATGAAAATTACTTACCTGTGTGATGTGTTAGAGTCACAGAAAAATAGACATTCTTGAAATACTTACAGGTTTATATCGGAGTGCGTCCCTATAGGAGCCAAATAGTGCAGCCTGCGCCTTAAGAAAAGCCCTCGCTACCCCATCACCAGTAGCTGTTGACTGCTTCTTCAGTTTGTATTTCAAGGATGATACCTACACAAAGGAATAAAACATGAAACCCACATCTCTTTACGAGAACAAATTCTAAATGTCATCTTAACAAACAGTGTGCAAGCTCTAATGCTTATCAGAACACCTGCTTCTCAGTTACTATCTACAACAGCATATGGTTGACAAGGATGTAGAAAATATTGAAACAGTTTCCTCAAGACTTATGAATAAAAATAAATTTGTAAGAATTGCATACTTGCCACCATGTCTAAAAAGTGGCAAACATGAAAATATCCAGATCCAGTGAAAATTTCCTTTCATGAAATACTATTTCTTATTGCTGGATGTACTGCTCAGCATAAATTTCTAGCTGTATGCATAACTCCAGAGATAGAAGCTTTTCTTCAAAAAGCCTCGAAATTATTCAGATGACAGCAAAGTAGAAATTAAATAGAATTCAGTTAATTGCAAGGAACACCTGCTGCATAATTAAAAAATGTCTAAATTTCCACAAGAACAATATAATTAAGAAACAAATTGCATGCTAATAAAAATGAAATATATGGTATTGAGAGCAAAATGACAACAGTATCAAACACAAGAGAAGGGTAATGAGAAGGCATACCTATTGTTGTTAAAACATTGAACACAATTTCCTTTTCTGCTTCAAATAACGATTGCTGTCTAATTACTCATTATACTTCTTTTAATAAAGATAACCAGCACAGTACAAGGCATCAGAGAAAACCAAGCTCTACAGGTGATAAACCTTTACAGCAGTGACATTTTTCAGTGTAAAGTCACAGCTACTGTGATCTGATCAAAGAAATGGACCCCCATAGGGTCCAATTATAGCCATATTTTTATGGAAAAATCATTGAGTTATGATGTTCATAATCTATGCAGAAAGGACTTTACAATATAGGTCTTTTCCCAATAGCTGTGATCTTTTCAATTTACATCAAGGCTTGATCGCAACAGATAAAAGTCTAGAAATCCAATTCATTTAGTGCTCTGACTGCATATACCAAGGCTCATTAAGTTTTTTTCAATTAACTTCAGCACAGGGTGAGAAGTACATAATCTATATTGCTGTGGCAAGAAAGGTTAAAGAACATACAAATTCACTGAATTCTCCATGCTCTTTTAATTGACACTCCACGATAGCTTCATTCTGGAAGCCATCAAGCAATTAAACATCAATATCCTTCGGTCTTATTTCATGGGTGCAATAAAATACCCATTGTATGAAATGAAGCTTCTTCTATTAAAAGAAACAAGAAACTTCCCAGATTCTTGCACCCCAAAGCCAGATTGGAACTTTGAAAACATAGTGTATTCTGCCTCAGAACTTCCCAATGGCAAAAAGATGTTCCTTTGGTCAGAACTACTACCAATAAAAATGGCCATTTTATCAGTGACAATGTGGCATTGAAAATTTTGCTTCAAATTACATTTGATCTCCTTTATAATGTTAAAAGCCATCTTTCCACATCCACTCCATTATTTTTCAAAGTTACAATTTGTCTGACCGAAAACAGGCAAGGGGCAGAGAACAAAGGCAAATTGTCCAGATGGTACACTGCTTGAACTTCCCAGTTGAAAACTATACCATGATATTCAGCAGCCTCCATTTGGGGTAACATTCCCAGGAGATTTATATTTTTTGGTTTATGTCTCCTTTCACTATGAGGTAGGAAGGCAGACAAGACAACCGATCCCTCTGGACCTTCATAACTATCAGAAATAGGAGCACACTGCCTTCCTCATTGATGTTCCTCTGAACACAACAGTGTAATTTTCAAACTGCTCATAAAAATATCAAGAAAAACCTTGACAAGTTCTGGTTATTTGAACCAAATTTACTGGTTTATGATGCAGAGTGATGCCAACCACGTGGTTTCAATTCCCACACCAGTTGAGGTTACCACGATGGACCTTCCTTCTCAACCCCTCCCTTCTCATGGGGTGTGGTCGTCCAGGCTAAGAGTCTTGCATCTGGGAGTATGAAAATCATTTTGGATTTGATTGCTGATTTCTCTGATGTACTTTTGGTAAAACCTGCTTTCGGAAGCCATTCCAGACAGAGGTATCAAATGACAATTACAGTATTACGACTAAGAGATATACAAGGTGATTTTGTTTTGCATCTTTAATTTAAAGAAGTCATGTTCTGAAGGTACCTGACACAAAGCTTGGGTGATTTGATTATTAGAGACCAAGGAAAACCCAGATTGTTTTACTTGGAAGTAGATGTTTAGACCTATAGACAATGGCAGCAGTTAGTGTGCTAATAAGGGAAAGATCAAGAATCTTCAAATCCTAGAAACGTGTGAGAAAGCTGCACTGTAGACAGCTGTGCTTTAAACTATCCATTTACTTCCAAGATAAAAGGGAGTTTGGGGTTTCAAGGTTAGCTAATCAGCATTTCTACCTGGATAAAAGGCCCTTGTGGTTTATATTATCATGGAGATAGGTCTTGAGAGGGCAAGCATATATGCTACCCCAAAAACACTCACAGAAAGTTAATCTGCCAAGATACCAGAGAGGGGAAACAGCGAGAGACAGAAAGATGCTGCGGTTTAATTTCACAAGAATGTAGGTATTAGCTAATGTGAGATTGAAATAAACCCAATTCATGGGGTGTTCAAACAAGGCTGGAAGATTTGCCCAGCTTGTGCTAGAAGAGATAACTATAGTAGGAAAACAGGCCTCATTGTGAAATTAAAAGTTCTAAAATAAAAAAGGCCCAGCTAGAGAAAGCAGAACAATGGAAGTACATCCTCTAGAGGTAAAAATCATGTTAGCATGGTTACAAGAGAATTCAATACTTAAAAGAACAATGTAAAGTGCATCTGGGAAGTATGTTTTCAATGTGGAACAAAAAAAGGGAATGTTCTGTTTTGTGATCTGAAGTATAACTTTATATATCAACAAAGATAGTATTTCATCTACTGGACATTTAGCGCTCTGTTAAAGTAAACATCTTGAATGGTAAACTCTTGTATCATCTTTTCAGCTGGCAAATGAGAATTCTAATTTCTGCCTAATAATCATCGGTCTCTATGGGAATCGTATCAATAGTTAGATTCAATACTGCAAAAATATTATCTGGCAAATGTTACCTTATTAGTATTGGCCAGCAAGAAAAAAAGCCCTGCAGAGACTTTCTGATCAAAGAAAATTACTATGTTCCTCTGAATTTTGGGGGAGATCTTCTTAAGTGGGATTTTTTAAATTCAAGACATGAAGTTGCTCATAAAAATATCAAGAAAAGGAAATTCCAGGATTTGTTTCCTGAGTTCATGATTATCTTATTGGATAAATCTGTTGGAACACTTGTTCACTACAGTCCAAATTGATTACTGTGTATAGTCAAGAGCACACCGCTGTATGGGCATCATGGTGGCTCAGTGGTTAGCACTGCTGCCTCATAGCGCCAGGGACCCGGGTTCAATTCCACGCTTGGGCGACTGTCTGTGTGGAGTTTGCACATTCTCCCCGTGTCTGCGTGGGTTTCTTCGGGTGCTCCGGTTTCCTCCTACAGTCCAAAGATGCGCAGGTTGGGTGGATTGGCCATGCTAAATTGCCCGTAGTGCTCAGGGATATGTAGATTAGATGGGTTATGGGGGGGGATGGGTCTGGGTGGGATGTTCTGAGGATTGGTGTGGACTTGTTGGGCTGAAGGGCCTGTTTCCACACTGTACGGATTCTATGTAACTATTTGACTGTTGGGTGCTTTTTCTGTTTGTGTTATCTTCCATACAGGAAACATGCAATTTGTATAATTTAGTTATGTATAAACATGAGAAAATGAGTTGAGTTTATTGGCAGGTTCACTTACATGGCATATTCTGGATATATCTTTTACTTCTTTTTCCTAGAGGCACTGTCACCTTATGCAATGTGTGTTGGATTTGGGTTATGAAAGAAAATCATGCTGAGTTTACTACACGCTGTTTTAATCATTATTGTTATTACTCAATGGCATAGACCTATCACAAATTATTTCAGATCATTTGAGACATAGGATGTGGGGCTGCTGAAGGGGTATGACATTTGGAATCTTGGATGCACCTTAACTTCATTAAATTGAGAATGAATTCTCAGCAAATACTAGGATTTTAAAAAATTTTAAGAGAGTTACTACAGAATAGGTAACAACAACTTGGAATGAAGGCCGAAAAGGTGCTGCCTCTTCAGAACATATGCAGCTCTCCATCTCTTTAAAGAAAATATTAAGACTCAACTAAATTCTGTGAAGCTAATTCAGAGAGGACACCAAGTAACGGCAGTGCACACTATTAATTTCAATGAATTTTGAAGGGGAAAGTTTACTGTGGTGTCAGAACATTCTTAAAGATTTGGTGAAATTGTCAATAAGTGAATTTTTCTTATGCATCATCACCTTATTGAGCAATCACTACAGAGGAAATTGTCAAGCCAGAAGAGTTTTGTTTAATAGAAAACACCAAAACGTCCAGTGCCCCAGTGGCAAGGATAAGTGGGTTTGCACTTCCAATGCCCCAATAGTTCATTAAGTAATCAGAATGAATAGTCATGAATTATAGTGGAAGCAAACTATTTTTCTTTAAGTTGCCATGGCCACAGCCCACTCCCCGCAGAGAGGTTGCTGAAGTGGCTATTACAAGCTACCAACCAAGGGAATGCACATTGGTACAAGCAAGGAGGCCTGAAAAACCTGCAACTGACAGGAAATTTTGATAAAATTCATTTTCTCATGGTTTCATTCTGTACACTTGAAGTGGTAATATTAACTTTAAGAACAGGGCAAGTCCTTTGTTACTCAGGTTTATTAATGCAACAAAAAAATTAACAAATCAAAATTTGCTTTGTACATTATAAATCTACAGGGGCACAGCAATGTTTCAGCAGGAACACAAATAAACAGGTTGCCAGAGGCCAAAAACAGGAATTATGTTTCCATCTGGAAATCCACAGTGTTTTTCCAAGTAGCATCGCTATGAACAAAACGAACATTTCTAATAGGCAATAACTCTTAAATATTATGTGCGACCATCTGACAAGAGATCATTATGAAAATGACGGCACACACCATATCAGAGTCTCCACTTGAAAACACTTCAGTAATTCAGGACAACTGTGACCCACTGACCTTTATGACAACTGAAACCAATACAAAAACTGACCTAATAATAAACTCCATATGGACTAAAAGCCTTGTGACATGAACTCACATGTAACTAAACATATCTTGTAGCAGCTTTACGCAAATCAACAGGAGTCCAACTCATAATATTTTTACAATTACTTTTTCTGCCAGTGGGGGTGGATTAAAGAGACGAGAAGGCACAAGAGAAACCAATGTAATCAAAACATTGGACACAAATGATCCTGGTTGATTACCAAGTTACTTGATAATTGCAGAGAAAACAACATGGTGGATGCTTGGAAATGGGCACGTCATAATTCATAGAAGGTTGGTGCTATATTGTTTGTAGCTTGCTTAAATTAAAACATGGAATACTAAGCACCTTGAAGCATTAGTAATCAGGAAAAGCAATACAAGATCAAAGGAGAGATGCAGCCAACACCTCATTTATCAAACATCATTGGCAAATACAAGAGCTTTATTTTAACTACCTCCTCCTACTAGAGTATACTTTTATGGCAAGTTGAAACTGTCAGTTTCTTCCAAAACAAAAATAAGCAACGGAGAGCAGTAATTTTTAAAACAAATAATGTGCTTCCATTGAAAATGCCTGCCAGAAGACAAAAAATTAAAATGCACTGGAAAACTAATAATTCACGGAAACAAATGCTTCAGAATAGTGAAGATCAAAGGATCAATTTTGTGACCCCAACTGTAAAAATATTTCTTATAATATTGACCGGTGCCATCTGAACATTAATTAGAGGAAAAGGAACTGGCAGGTGGCAGGGAAACAGGAGCTGATAATTGGCTCCCTTCTTCTTGCTGCCTTCACAACTCAACTCGTTCTTCGGAAAGAAATGCCACTAGGCAGACAGAAATGCATACTTTGTAATTTAATGATTAAGTATAAGATGAAGAGACTTACATTTTAAAAAAAGCTACAGCTAATGAATGCAGATATCTTTCTGATCATGAGCTTCATTTCCGAGAGGCTGCGCTATTCAAAACTTCTCCAGCCACGGTCAAAATCTTGAAAATAATTCTGCTTTTATACAAGTCAATTTGCAGTTCCTGATTTTCACAGAATGCAAGACAGAAGACTAAGTATGGCTCACCCCAACCCCTTAGATCTTCTAATCTGTGATTACACAAGGAAAGATTTTAACATGACAAAGAGCTAATGAATTTGAAAAAGCACTCTGTCACATTTTGACTTACCACTTCACTTGGTAGGTTGTGAAGGTCATCAAATGGTGTTTCCAGTGTGTTTGTATCGACGTTTAATATGATCACATCTTCATCAGCTTTGTTCTTCACCTTCTGTTGAAAGGAAAAAGAGAAAATCCTCAGTACGGTTGTAAATAGAATGGTTTTTTTTTAGGAAAAGGTACTTGGTCTTGAG